GGAGATGCTGCTTACAGCTCAGTGTTGTATCTATGGATAAATAATGACTTGATCATTATTTATCCATAGAAAAGAACACCATCCTAAGCCCCCTCTGTGCAATAAACCCCCTGGTCTCCTGACACCAGGGCTTTCAGAGGTCAGAGCAGTCAAAGACTGCTGCTACTACAAGTCCTCAAAAATTAAACATTCATTACTGGTTGAAAATGTTACCAATTCTAAGGAGCAAATTTTGGAGCGCAAAAAAAAAAAAAAATTTCTAAACAATCTTTTACTAAAAGATACCTTTCAGTTTTCCAGGAAAAGTCAATTTCTTCTTGTCTGGACTACACCCTTTCTTTGAAACTGCCTTGAACACATTTGGGGTTGTCCTGATGTTGCCTGAACATGGTGGTGTGCCAAAAGCTGAGGTATATAACCAGAATAATATATGGCTGTGAACTTCACCTTTGTTCCTTTAAGCCTATGGTTTGCTTTTATTTTAATGAATAAATAGTATTTATTTACTTTCAAAACAAGAACAGTGTTTTGGTGAACTAGCTGTTGGGCAGGATCACTATTTCATGCATGTTTTCACTGTGTATTTCACTATTTTCACGGAGTATTGCCTGCTCAATACTCTGCTTTTAGTCTCTCATCTAATTTCCAGACACCCACTTTAAGCTTGAGGGAGTAGAAAAACTCTAATAATTCTTCCGTGGATGGGCTTGCAAGATAAGGGGAGAATATTTACAGCAGCCATGAGAAAGGAATGCATGTTTCCAAAATAAAAAAGCATCTTGACATTTCCCTCCTGCAGGCCTCAAACTTCTGGGAGCCGGGGGAGATTCCTCAGACCCTCGTGGGTCAGTGAACCCCAGCTGAAGAGGCAGAGATTGGAGATGACGCATTTGTGACAGAGCTGCTTGGCTGGGGGAAGAACACTCCAGTTTCTGATAAATAAATATGTTAAACAGCCAAGCAAACACAAGGAAACCTTGCATGGCCAACTGGCAGCTCCATTCCTGCAGAGGAGGGATGTTCCTGGAATTGAGGAATTCAGAGATTCCCCACAGTCATGGGGACGTTCACTCAACAAGAGTGAGGAGCAGGTTAGGCCTAAATGACAATTCCACATCCCTTCCTGATGGAATTGTCCATTTCCTCAAATCTGCAGGCACGGACACACAGCCCCTACCTGGGCACTATTAGTATAAATACTTGTGAGATAAATTTGTTTTGGTCCCACTGACAATATGTGTTCAACATTGATGTAAATATTTGTGAGATAAATTTGTTTTGATCACATAGCCAATGCCTGGTCACTATTGATATAAATACTTGTGAGATAAATTTGTTTTGGTGGTCACATAGCCAATGGTCACTATTGGTATAAATACTTGTGAGATAAATACTTGTTTTGGTCTCATAGCCAATGCCTGGTCATTATTGATGTAAATGCTTGTGAGATAAATTTGTTTTCGTCATATAGCCAATTTCCAATCACTATTGATGTAAATACCTGTGAGATAAGTTTCTTTTGGTGGTCACATAGCCAATACTTGGTCACTATTGGTGTAAAGATTTGTGAGATAAATTTGTTTTGGTCACAAAGCCAAGACAGAAGCTCAGAAAGTCCCATGGTCTTTTGCCCTACACTGGGCATCATTTCAGGTTGTCTGAAGATTTTTTTTTTTTTGGTAAAAAAGGAACTGCCTCAGCCTGCCAGCCTGGCCCCTGCTTGCACTGAAGTCCACCCAGGAGGAAATTTAATCCAAATTCCCTGGAGGTGTCTGGCCGTTTGCTGAGATTGCACCAAGAAGACACCATTCTTTAGACATTTGTTGGATGAAGAAGAAAAAGCTGCCTGAAGCTTCCATTTAGGAAATGGATTATATTTGGATGCAGACCAATTTGAATTTAAGTTTTTCATAAATGACCACGGTGAAGTCAGAGTTACACCTTTAAATTTTTTATACTAAGCTGGCAGTGAAATGAAATGTTTCTGTTTATTCAAACTATGCCCTTATGGACAGAAAAAGCCCCTTCAGTTTGGGCATAAACTAAAAATAGAAGCTGAAAAATATTTATTCATTCTTCCAGCCCTGATCCAGGTTTAGCATGATGGATTTTTTCCTGTCTATAGAGGTTTTTGTTAGAAAATACAGATATAGTGATTTATGGCTGTTATTCCTTTAAATGTTTCTTTCTTATGAAACAAAATATAAAGAAATGCAGCACATATTTCTTTAAACAAGTTGCAAGAGCCACTATGACAAATTAATTCACTGTAATTAGTCTAGCAAAGTTTTGATTTCGCAGAAGTATTTGGGAGATTTTCTGTTAGCATTGATGGAACTAATGCTTTGGGTGAGGTGTCTCACAAATCTGAGAGTTGTTTCAGTTCTACAAACACAAGCTCTATGCAGAGAAGCTCTAGATTTGAATTATATGAAAATATTAGGAATATTTTCTTTAAAGATATATATGTATTTGTCTCCTGGTAATTTTTTCTTTATAAAAACGTTAGAAACACAGATATGGGCTCTACAGCACATAAAGCTGCACACCCACTTTCTTAGAAACCCAAGAAAATAGAGATTAAGGGATGGAAATACCTTTTTACCTTCAGTTTGTTGCCCTGATACCCATACACGTCAAAGAAATGTACCCTAAACATATGTGTGAATTTCAATCATTTAAATTGAAATTTACCAAATATCAGTAATTATTTTAAAAATTTATTCCAATCAAGATTGATATTAATAAATAAATAAGAATTACTAAAAACCTACATGAAAATTTCCTTGAAGTGAATTACACTGAGATATTTTCTCATTAAATACCTAAACCCTTTCCAATTTATAAGGTAAGAACCAAATGTTTAGAATTCTTCAAAGATTTAGGGAAAAAGTAAAAATAAAATGGTTTAGTGGATCTGTAAAAGAAATAAAGGCAGACATCTCATACAGATTTATTTGCTTTCTGCATGAAGGTGAGGTGCAGAACAAAACACGCCAGATTCCACAGACTGGAGATTCAATCCTCACAAGTCAGTGCCAGAAACAAATCAAAGCTGGGTTTAGAACAGAGAAAAAACAGTAGAAAATAAACATGATTCATGATATATTTTTATCTGGTAGGAAAACAAACATAATTAAATACCAATCAATACTGGTATGAAAAGGGATTGTGCAAATGGTTGTAAACATAATTTATTCGCTGCATGAATGAGGATTAATAGAATAAAATGGTAATAAATTACCTAGTCAGAGAGAGTTCTAATATAAAACTCTACAGCTTTGCAGCTTTTATTTCTCATGACTAATTAGCAATAAAAATAAATTTTTATGTTGGATGGATCTTTGGTACAAACATGCTTTTTTGTTTGTTAAAATGCTACGTGCTAGGCATTCACTTTTCTAGTGTCCATTATTAATTATTGAATTAGCTTACCTGTTTCACCAGAAACAATATCATGATAGAGCTGGCAGATGTTGGAGCTATCCTGGACCAGAGTCCCATGCTGGAATGGAGAGCAAAAAGTGTCACCATGCCCATTCGGATAAATTTGTCCCCAATATGCTGCTATTTCACTCTAAAGATCAATTCTATTAACAAAAAATTAATAATAGAAGTAAAAATGTCTTCTTTTATGAATGCCACTGTTCCATGAATGCTCTTTCCAAATTAGTGAGAAGTCTCCTGAAGTGTTCAGCTTTGCTAGACTCCAACTACGTTTTGGTTTTTCTGAGTAAAGGCAGAGAGTTTAGTCTAAACTTCACAGCAACTCTGCTTGCTGAGCTTCCCCATTAGCCAATAAGAAGTCAGAAAACTCTTAAAACATGAAAGGGCTGATCCTGTTCCTTGAAGCTCCACAGGAATTTTGCCAGTGATTTTTCCAGAATGCAATCCAGCTCCACAAAAACACACATATATATTTATAAATATCAAGATATCTGTATATGTTTTTATTTATATATATACATACATATAATATACACATAATGCAATCCAGCTTCACAAAAACACATATATATTTATACTTATATAAATATATATGTATTTTTATTTTTATATATACAGATATATATATATATTTATAGATATATATATTTATATAGATAATGCAATCCAGCTTCATAAAAACACACCTATATATTTATATATATATAGACATATGTATATATTTTTATATATGTATATATTTTTATATAAATATTTATACACATTGTGCAAACCAGCTTCACAAAAACATATATATATTTATACATCTATAGGTATATGTATATATTTATACATATATATGTGTATATTTATACATATATATATACATATTTATTTTATATATATGTATATATTTTAACATATGTATGTATATTTCTATGCACCTCATGAAACCAATAAACAACACCTCAGAACACAAAAACTTTGAGTAGGAAGCTTGGGGGGCAGACTGGCCAGTGCCCAGGAAACCAGCAAGAGCAAAGTCAGGTAATTTATGACTTTTATTTGTCGCTGGTGGAGCTCTGAACGTAGGCAGTCACCCTTCTAGTGCTGCATGCTGTGAAATGCTGGAGCTGACCAACCAGTTTGAGCTCCTTATGAGTTTTTTTTAATAGCAAGAGTCACAACTTGTTCAATTTAAAGTGCTCAGTGTCACAGGAGCATTTGGAACTGTGAGGTTTTTTATTCCTTAGCTAAGGAACAGAGAGATTCCATCAGTGTGACTCCAATCAAGGCAAATAGACATGTTTTGTCAGTATAAATAAAACTTTAGTGATTGCACACCGGGGTACTTCCAATGTTTCTGTGTTCTGTGTATGATTCATGGGGCAAATTATCATTTATTGTCACAATTCCTTATATTTCTTTCACAATACATTGCTGCCAAGCAACACTGTCCTTTATTCTTAATCTCCCCTGCCACATGATTTCTGGTCATGCCCAGATCCCTGCTCTCTGCCTTAAACTCCTAAGCTAGCAGGGTTTGTGGGAGGGATGAAGGATGGGGTGGTGAAGGCAGGCAGGTGTTCCATCGGGCACAAATGTGCAAAAGGGAATTTCTGGAATAATTGCCGGTGCAGTGCTGGAAGATGCCAGCCTCCATCCCAGAGGCAGACAGGAGGCACAGAGCCTCAGCAGCATTTTCTCTGAGTTTCCTCTCTTTAGTCTTCTCCATCACAGCTTTCAGCAGCAGTTACTGGTGTGAAGGCACCAGGAAAGTCGCCAAACCTTTCTGCAAAGGAGACAGCAAAGGGGATCTGTGCATCCGCTTCAACAGCCCCGATGGCAACGGCAGCCAGGCTGTGCAGTACATCTGGGAGACCGGGGATGACAAGTTTGTGGAGAAGAAGTTCCACGCTGGCATCTGGTATTCCTGTGAAGAAATGATCAATGAAGAAGGTGAGTAAAGCCGTGGGAATTTATTTAATTAAGTAATCGTGGTTCTTCCTACTTATTTGGTGAGTCCTTCCCTTCTGCTTCATTAATTTCTATGTGTTTTATGGTGTTTATGTCCTTAAAAAGTTGCACTTCTCTGGCAAAGGGGTACTGTTCAGTCAATTCCTAAAAAAATTCCTAATAAATTCTAATAAAGTCTTAATAAATTCTAAGAACATTAGGGTGACAGGTTGTGGTTTTTATTTAGCTGACAGGTTCTGTTTCAGATAAAGATTATTTGGTTTTTATTCTACACACCATAACAGCAAGTCAAATGGCATTAACAGGAAAGCATTTCATTTTTCCAGTTGTTTTTATTCCTTCGGTCAAAAATAAGCGTACTTGCTTTAAATAATTCCTTCTGATCCCCTATGGCAACATAAAAAACACAAACTGATTTTATTTTTATTTTTATAATCATTTGCACTAATATATCTTTGGGATTTAAATTACTTACTGGATTTTCTCTTGAGCACAAGTATTTCTACCTTCTTACTGTGATCTCACCTTGCATAAATCAAAGTAGAAGAGGAATATTTAATCCTGCTAAAACATTACATGGAGACTTACTAGCCATAAGTGGTGACATTTAATTGGGGCTCACTCTGCATATGTAAATATTATTAGAATGAAATAATTGAAATAGTTTTCATATTTATATGAAATTATTAGCTTGCCATTACAGAAACTTTCTAGTAAATTTTGTATTTTTGTATAAGGGAATTGCTGGTTCAAGAATTCAAGCATTTCTTGTATAACCAGATCAACATTAAGTTTTTCCCTTGATTGTCCTGATCAGTTTAAAGGCAACAGGTAGAACAGAACTTCAGAGAAATCAAAGCAGCTGTCACCTATGCCATAAAATACAAATATTTTCACAGTCACCTGTCCTGAAGTCCAGTTCTACCAGAAGTTCTTGTAAGTTATGCAGTTTCAAGGGGAAAATGTCAAAGATCAGAGCAAATTACGTGTCCAAAAGCCACTTTTTGCCCATGCTCTGGGTACCAGGCTTGTGTAATTTGAGCATCTGCTTTGGAACCTCATGTGTGGAAACTCATGTTTTCTGACTTGATGCAGTTAGGAGCTGGAAAAAAACCACCCATCATGTTGAGATCAGAGATTTAATTCCGAGAGCTTTGTTCACAGCATCTGTGTGGGGGGCAGGAGTTCATGTGGGTTTGAAAATCAAAGCTTACGGGAAGAAATTGGAATGAAGCTTAGAGGGAATTTGTGTGAGCAGCAGCCTTGCTGCCGTGAGGAGAGCAGCTCTGCCCGAACAGGAGATTTCTTCCAGGCTGCCACTTCTGCAGAGGAATTCTCCTCTCCTGCCTCTCACAGCCACCTCCCCATGGAAATCAATTCACAGACTTTCTCCAAGTCTTGCAGGCAGGTTCCACCTTGTCAGGACTCTCTGGTTAAACCCCAGGAGAAGGTTGATGTGCCAGGGTCTCTGTGTACACTAAAACCAGCTTCTCCTCATCTTCTCACTTTCTGCCCATATGATAGATTCTGCATTTTCTTCTTTCTATTAATCTATTTCTTTAGATCATTACAGAATCCAAAATAATCCTGAATTTGATTTTTTTTTTTGTTTTGTTTTTTAGGTGAGACATGTAGAAGCTTTATCAGTCTGACACCAGCTTCTGATCGAGGTAGACATGTATATTTTTTGTCTCTAGTAAAAACTTTCCTGATCACACTTACCAATATAAGTATTCTGCATTAAATTAAATTAATCCATTTTCAAAAATGCTTGCTTTAATCATAAAGAGTATTTTTTGTCCTTTATTTAGTTTTCCAACTTCAAAATCAAGGTTATATGACTTATAATATCAATGCATGCCTTTCTGAAGACACACCACTTGAATATGAATGGCTTTTGAAATTTGAATATGGGTGCTGGAAGTCCAAATTTGTGTATTTTTGCCCTCTGTCTCCTCATACCTCCATATTTGCAGCCAGGAATTCTGTGGCAGTGTGTGAACATCCGCCAGGAGGTTTGTGTGCTGAGGGGATTGAGGGAGCTCAGCTGTGCACCAAACCAGCCTTGCTGGAATCTGCATCCCTGTGCCTTACTCAGAGCTGTGAGGAGACATTTCCATTCTCTTCTTCCAAAGAATATTCAATAATTCTTAATAAAGAAAAATAAATTCTTAATAAAGGATTATAATTCTTATTATGGAATATTTCCAATATTCTTACAAAACATTCCTGCTGATGCTGCTCTGTGCCTTCTTCTTGATCGCCGGTATGAAAACATCAGTCCATCACTGATCTGATTAGATAAATCACTTTACAAGTGGCTGATCCAGAAAAAAACCCCAAAATTCTTTCTTCCCAGCATTCTGGGACTGGAGTATTTGCCTGGATATGCAATTTCAGGCCCTTGGAGAAGGAGAAATACTCAGTCTCTGAAGGCCAGTCTTCCTTCTACTGCTGCAGCTCGTCACAGTGCTTTAACAGAATAATAGAATTTTGTAGCATGAGAAGAAAATATAAATGAGATGTGGGTGTAGTCACACAGAACTGAGGGGTGTTTTGGGCCCTGTTTTGAGAGTTCCTCACAAGGAAAACTGCTGGTGGGCACAGAGCTGAAGCTAACTCAGAACAGCAGCAGCAAATGTCACAGGCACTGGCAGGCCAGGTGGAGACAGCCACGAAGCATCTTGGTACCTAAAATATAGAAATCTCCCCCTGGGTATGAAATCCTGTGTGGAAATCCTGCCCAGAACAGGTTTGTGTTCTGCACATGGTGTGTGATCCAAACTCAGGGTGCAGCAGGCTCAGCCTCCCCAAATTTCTCCCCCTGGCTCTCACACACAGGGCTGATCACCACTGCTCAGTGCATTTCTTACAAAGGCTCACTGGCCAAAAGTGTTCAGATGCAAACTCTTACAGCTGGAGCAGCCAGAACTGTTGGGCAATGCAACATCTGGAGTTCCTGATGGAAATCACAATTTTTTACTGAGATAGATTTTCTGGAGAAACAAACCATGTCCAAGAACACCCACACATAGCCTGGCCCAAGAATTTAATGTCTGAATGGCCCATGAATCAATTGTCCAAGCCAGAATTTGAGTTACACACCACACAAATGTTGTCTCCCGCCCTAGGTGGTGTCTGGTAATCAAGGATTTGTCCCAGCAGTGTTTCAATTTTTAAATTATGATTGTTTGTGTACATCTTCACGTGAAATCACTGCTTGAATCTACAACCAGGTGTCTCAGGACACATTTGGTTATTAAAAAGTTTGGGGAAGATCATTTGCCAGATCTTGCTACAGCAAATTTGGACACAAGGAGGCCTCCTGCTCCTGGCTGCGGGACAGTAGCACGCTGAAGGTCAGACAGCAGGCTGAGAGACTTCAATGGGAGGATTAACTTCTTGCATAAGATGTAATTACCAGATCTCCAAAAAGAGAGGAATTAGCAGATAACTAGGGAATTGAATCTCAGCGAAACCTGGAGGCTCTCTGGGCTCATGAAGGCTTCTCTGTCCAAAAAAAATCAAGATTCCTGTTTGGTTCAAAGTTAAGTCTGTGGGGAAGATTTTATTGAATGACTGGACCCACAGGCAGTGTAGGGGTGTGCATGGCCTCCTTTAGCTCTTTTTATATTGCCTTTGGTACTTTTTATATTGCCTTTGGTACTTTTTATATCGCCTTTGGTTCTTTTTATATTAACTTCGGTTCATGGTGATTTTAGGGTAGCTACAGAGTATAAAACCACACTGTCCCACCTTCTGAGTGTGTAGCAGAAACATGCAACTGCTTTTCCAATAATTATAATTTGGGGTGTCCATTGACACTGAAGTCCTGCACAGATATTCTCACTATCACAGCATCCTCACAGCCCTTGTGTTTCTGTTTAACTTTGCACGAACTATACAAATGAAGAAGGAAATGGTGAAAATCTGGAATGATTGCTGATAATATCAGTGCTGTTGATTTGGTTTCCAGGGGTTTTATGGCTGTCTATTGTAGCAGAGCTTCTCTACGTGGTTTTGCTCCTGACTGGGAACATTCTCATGTCAGTAGAAATATGCTACTACAGCTCTGTCATTGATGGGCTGAAGATCAACGCCTTCTCTGCAGTGGTCACCGTGTTAGCAGGTACAGTTAAGCATCTCCATTTCACAAAGTGAAGCAAAATTACATGGGAAAGTATTATTTTCAATGAATCATTTCTTAATGTCGTCTATTTCAAATGTTATATTTGTGGCTTTTGCTATCTTTAACTTAATTGTTTTAATTTGATCATTTTTTGTTTAGTTGTCAGGTTGGTTGCCAAAGACTAAATAACTGATATTACTATAACATTGTATTTTTTAGGTCTTCTGGGCATGGTTGCTCACATGATGTACACAACTGTATTTCAAATGACTGTAAATCTTGGTCCTGAGGACTGGAGACCTCACACTTGGGATTATGGCTGGTCCTATGGGTACTGACTGGTTTATATTTGGTTCTTCCATTACATTTCGGTCACTTCACCCTATGTTCAAGGAATTATACCTAATTTATAAGCAATGCCTTTAACTTATTTCACTTCTGAGGATGCAGCTCAGTAACCAGGTGTCGTTCTTGTCAATCAGTTGTCTTAAATTATTGCCCAGAATATGTGAGATTTATAGTCATAATAACTGCACCTTTTAACTTTTTATGCATTCCTCTTTTTTTTTTTTTTTGTTTTTATAAAACCACTTTCTGATATTAAGCTCTAAGCTTAATAGAGACATAAAGCTTAAATAGAGCTTAAATAGAGAAATTGGAGGTCGGGTTTCATTAAACAGTTTTGCTAAATGTAGATATTGCAACAAATATGTAGAGGCCTGTAAATGGTCATTGATCAAGAGTATTTCTCCTTCACCTAGCCTGTTCATCTTTCCCTTACAACACAATCAAACATAAGAGGTGTTTTCAAAACTAAAATTGAAGGACTTGAATATGAAAATGCCTTGTTAATTTCTGCTAATTTTTCTTTTTTTGTTTTCAGCCTTGCATGGACCTCCTTCGCTTGCTGCATGGCTGCAGCTGTCACCACTATTAACAAATATACAAAAACTATCTTGGAATTCAAGCACAAGAGAAAAAAGCTGGAAAGGAGCTTTAGGATTCAATACAGGTTTCCTGAGCACACAGCTCCAGAGAAGGTTTGCAATGTGTATGTGAACTCTTTCCAAAACACCACAGACGACCCCGCACACGCATTGAGAAGTCTTCGTCACCTGGCCACGATTTCAGTCCTGTAAAGCTGAACCAGATCTCAAAGCACTCTGTAAATCACAATCCTAGATCCAAACAAAGCAGTGCTAATGAATAAAATGTATAAATGTGTAGCATTATTTATTTTTCTTAATAAAGAAATTGTATTTCCTGGATGTTTCAAGGAAGTCTTGGTATTGGAAAAGAAGGTTCAGGTGGCTCAGTTCAGATAACAACAGTGACGCAGGTTCCCCCCAGGTCTAGTTTTTAAGCAGTTTCTAATGGTGATAGACACTATGTGAGTTTCTTAGAATTTTAGAACATCACTCCACCCTGATTCTTTATTAAAAAGACTAAAAAATTCCATCCTGAAACCAAAACCCATGAGAAGCAGGGCAGCAAATAAAGCATGTGGTGCACAGCTTGCATAATTTTTTGTGGTGGAAAGTTCACTCTCTCCAAGAAAATCCGTGGACCTCAATTTATGGTTCAAGAGTTTCACCACACACACACAGTGGATTTGCTGTGAAAGGAAGGCTGGTAGAGGGAACAGGTTTCAGTGTAAACACTTAATTAAAATAAGAAGGCAAAATAAAATCGGGAAGATTGATAAGGAGGCAAACTGAAATCTGAAAAATACCTGACTGTGGACAGCGCACAACTCATCTATGGAACTCTCCAGGAATCATTCTGGGAACAGAGTCAGAAAGAATCAAAATTTACGTTTATACATGAAGAATCTATAATCACATTAAAGATGGGGAGGTGGAAATGATTGTAATCATCATAGATAAGGAACATGGAGCTGAGCCATGGGCCTGCTTGGTTGGACAGCAGTTTTTCTTCGCTTGGGTGATTACTCCTGTTATTGAGCCCCTTGGGAAACTCTGGGTGGCACAGGTCTTACACAGTCTCCTGAGCAGCTCTGGGCTTTGGAAAAGTCCCCATATATCTTTATTCAGGCAATAAATACAGTTTGAGCTTGTTATGCCAGCAGGAACTGTAACAGGTCAGGTTATGGCCAGGGATAAGGTGGAGCTGATAACAGAGAAGCATCATGAAGAAGAAAATCATTGGTGGTAAGAGAGGAGAGTTTTTGTGCATGTATTGAATATATTCAAGAAATGAGATTTCCTGACCTTGCTGGCAAGAGGTCCCAAACCTTCACTGCTGCAATTGCAAAAATAATTTCCTGTATCAAATCAGAATGCCATTTGTTCCAGTTGGTGTCCATTAACTTTTTTATTTCTTCTGTGCATATTTGATAAGAATCTGGCTCCATATTCCCTACACCATCCTACTAGGTGGCTGCAGATAGCCATAAGGTTTGCTCTTTAATCTTTAGAAAAGTCTGGTTTTATCCTTTCCAGTGCTCTGAAACTGCCACCTGCAGCCCAGCAGGGGAACAAAGCAGTTCCTAGAGTTTGGTGCCCACTCTGTTAGGAGCAGTCTCAATCCCTTGACCAAAACACGAGAGGGTGATTCCTTCCCCTTGATTCACTCATTTCTTTGTGATGGATATGTTTCTAACACCTTCACCAACAGAGGAATTCTTTCTGATTCCATCTGACTTTCTACTTTTTGCAACCCTAACTCTTTTTTACAACAGATTTTTACCCATCTCATGCTGTTCCTGGGTGTCATGGAAGAATTTCCACCTCATCCAGGAACATACTTAGTTGATGCCTACAAGTCCTTTGAAAAATCCAATTTATGCAAGTGCCTTGTTTTTTTTTCTTAGCCTGAATGTTACTAACACAGCCTGACAGTCTCTGCCATATGCTGTTTCCTCAGGGTTGTTTCTTACACTGGTTTGCATGCATATAAAGTGCTGTAGGCGGGCAAGGCTTTTTAAATTATTGTGCAGTAAGAATCCACCCAGATCCATTCTTAAATCTCAAACTGTGTGTTTTTCTCATGCTAACCATTCAAGAAGCTGCATGTCTTCTGCTGGATATCTGGTAAATAAATTCACCTGATGAAATGCAAGATTTCTTGTCCCTATTTGAAAGCCACAATTTTATATTCTGCTTCTTATTTTAACTTTTGACACCCAGTGCATCCTGGAACCACATTATTTGAAAGCAGAGGAAAACCAGCAGCATTTTTATTCTGATTAATTAGATCAAATCAATTTTGATGAATATGGCATCTCAGTAAATTTCAGACACAGATCTACAGCAGTTCTGGTTACCACTGGAAGTTAATGAGAGAAATTGGCACCTCTGGGATACAATTCTTGTTATCCAGAACTCGTCTTAATATTTCTTTTTCTTATCATAATATTTTTATGTGCAATATATATCCACAGGTGAGAGAGAGAAACAGAGAACAACAAATGAAATAGAAAACTTCAGATTAAATAATAGATTTCCCCAGAGGGAAAAAAAATATTATGTCTAAAATACCAGTGGAGAAACCTCATCTTCAAGATGAGAAAAAGCCACTGAATTAGAGAAAAGTGTGACCCATTTGAAAGGTCATCTAATCCTTCTTTTCTTTTAGGCAGGATAAACTAAAGCTACATTGCTTTTTTACAGATGTTTCATTAATCTCTTCTTTAAAGCTTCTGAAGACAGACATTTGAAAATTTCTGTGGCAGTCTATCCTTTGTGCTTAACTATTCTTAGCAGAAAATGCTGTGTCTGTAAATCTCCTTGGCAGTAATTTTAGCACATTGTCTTACTCCAGCAGGCATAGAGAACAGTTCAGTCCTGCCTTCTTTTCAGAACATTTTAGGAATTTGAAAATCATTAAGATACCACTGGCTTATACTTTCTAGATTAAAAAAAAAAAAAAAAATCTGTTATTTTGAAACTTTCTTGATGAGATACTGGTGTAATTTTGCTTCTTTCACTCTCTCTGCCTTCTGTTGTGGCTCCTTGAACTGCTCACTGTTTTGAAATGAAATTGTGTGAAGAATTTCTGCTGATCTCTAGGATGTGCAGAATGGAGCAGGAAGATTATCCAGCTTATTTTAACAGGTAATCCACTTGTTTTTACAACAAAGAAGGACAATAATAGAAATTATAGAAATCTCAGGACGGTTTGGGTTGGAAGGGACCTTAAAGAGCATCTGTGTCATTTCACCTGTGGGCAGGACAACTTCCACATCCCAGGTTGCTCCAAGCCCCACCAACGTGGCCATGAACACTTCCAGGGATGGGACAGCCACAAACAACGCTGATTCATGTTTAGCTGGGATGTCCTGTGGTGCCTGATCCTTTTCTGATGAAATTATGCTTATTCTGCATCCTGTTCTTATGGAAACGTGGAGGACTTGGCTGTTGCTGAGGTACAGAAACAAGCAGAACTGAGACCCCAGCAAGTGCCCATTGGTTTGAAGGTGCAGAGTTCTGCTGAGGACCAAGAACATTTTGAACAAATGATTGTTTGACTTCCCAGTGAAGGCAGAGTTGCTCACACCACAATAAAACCCCAGTGCTACACCAGAAAATAGATCCAGGTGCTGCAGGAACTGACCCCTCCACCCCAGAGGTGAACACCTCCCTCAGCCAGGTTTCTTGAAGCCAGAGCAACTCAATTAAAGCAACAGCAAAAGGTTCACATCCCTGCAAGATGACAGATGTTCCTTTGCCCCAGAACTCCTTTCATGTTTGGTGATTTTGTTATGAATGAGGTACAGGTGAAAAATGCATATTATATGGCTCTACGCAGATAGTTACTATATGTTTTATGTTATAGTGATTAGTTGTGCTTTTGTAGTTAAAATGAAGATTTTAGTAGTTAAAATAAATACTGGGTATGTGGGGGGATGAAGGTTTTTTGGGTTTTGGTTTTTTTTTTTTTAGGAATGAGATACTCACTTTGAGGAACACCTAAATCTTCCAAAGGAGAGGAATTGATGGCTTCTTATCAGAAGAAGCAATTTCTTCAGGCTTTGCTCAGACTCAAAGACGCCAGGGGATTCAAGGAACAGTTGACATACAACAGACAGAGTTTCTTGTTTTAAATAGAATGTATGCACAACCATAAAGGATATATGAATATGCAACAAGTGTATTGCTTTAAAGGTGATTCCTTTGTCTACAAGACATGATTTTCACGACTTAGTGTCTGAGATCATCCAAACATCCCTAATTCTTTGCTTTTTATTGTCGTGTAATTTTCCTAACTCTAAACTTTATTACTCTAATTGCATCACTATTTTTATAACCATTTTATTATTATTAAACTTTTAAAATTTTAAAAACCAAGTGATTGGCATTTTTCACAGCATAGAAGTGAGCTGGTGCTGGAAGTTACGTGAGCAATGGGATTTGTAGCAGCAAGAGCAGTTTGGTTCCAGTGGCACACTGGATAATCCCTAAAAGCAGAAGAGTAGAAGCTTTGTAGATGATTGTGTGTGTCAATGATAGTGGTGTTATTCTACTCATAGCAAGCAGCACAAGTCACTGACATTCAAAACAGAAACCTTTTTTTTTTTTTTTTTCAGGTCAAAAGCAAGGAAAATAACTGAACAAAATCAATTTTCCTCTTCTGTCTTCAGCTTTTCCCTAATCCCTGAGGCAACAATGGCAAAAAACAGCTCAGGGAAGAATGTTCTGATGTAAACTGCTGCTCTGGGGATGGGATTGGCCATAAGCACCTCCTGCTTCTTCCTGCTCACCGTGGCAAGGACCTCCTCTGCCACCTCCACGGGGTGCACACCATAGGACACCTTCCTGAAAAAGACTAAATGAGAGAGGAGTGAGAGCTACAGACAGGCAGGAAGGCAGGCAGGCAGACACGAAGGTGCACAGCTAGTGAATCAGTCAAATCAGTTTAATTTCTATGCACTTTCAATCCCTTCCCTACTCCATTCTCCTCATCAGTATGTGGCCAAGATCTTTTCATAATTGAGGTAAAATTCTTCCTCCTAAGGGAAGGAGCAACATGACTGCAGTGGAATTGTCCCTTTGGAACTTTTGTGCTCTCCTCCCCCTCCATTCCTGATGCCCTGATATATTTATTTTCTCACATAACATTGTCTCATTCCACATTCCTTCTCTTTTCACCTGGCTAATACTAATAATACCTCTCCAATATCTCTTTTCTTTTGCTCCTCACGCCTGTTTCTCCTTTCTGTCATTTCCATTATTTTTCCTTTTACTTTTTTAACCCTGGAAAAGCCTCCCTCCTGCTTTATGTGCCTCACCTTGATCCACCCAGACTTACACTTCCAAATAGATGCCTCCCAGTTGCCAGGTGCTGGCTGGCGATGGTATGAACAGATGAAGGTTGGACTTACAGTGCTGACAGAAATATCAAATTCTTCCATTTCAGCTCTAAGACAATCAAAAAAGCCTACAGCAGCATGCTTGGAAGCAGCATCTAAAAGCAAAAAAAACACACATATGAATGTTTAGAAATATGATTTCATGGAAGCAGGTGTATAATAAAGCACCAGTGTTTGGGAAAATGAGCGCAGAATGATTAACCAAAATGAAAATAATTATTTCAGCCAGTGAAATTATCATATAACATCTGTAAAACAAGCAATAAGAAATTATCTGTACAGGACAACTGTGCATGCAGTCTCTTGGACATGTCAAAGAGCACATGTCTGCATTTCCCAGTCAGAAATGGCACATCCTGGGTTAGGAAATAACAATTCTGTTATGCCGACAGTTCAAAAATGCCTTTGGTGGTGGAATGGTCCCTGAGATGAGTCCTCGCACCTGTTTCTGCAGTTTGCAACACATCCATGAAATGCAGTGGGACACATGTGCACTGCTGGAATGCAGTGCTCCTCATGCTTTGTAAACTGATTAGCACTTTGCCCTGCAGCAGCTTTCAAAGCTAAAGTGAATTTTAAAGTAACTGAATGTCAACACTTCTTTATCTGATTTTAGAGCCTTTTTATTGAGAGCAGTATGAATAAGATGATAGTGTGTGAATTGGAAAAAATTTCAGCCAAATGCTGTAGCAATGCCAAATTTGGATGCAAATTAGCACTTTTAATAACCTATGATGAGTGTCATGGTCTCCTCACAACTTTTGCAGTAGAATGAATGTTTATGCAATGTGTGACTTACAAGCTGCACGAAATGGAACTCCTATTTTCCCTTGGATGCTGTTAATTAGAACAATTTGGCCAGTTCGCCTTGAGATCATGTTAGGAAGAATGGCTGCAAAAAGAGAAAGACAAGAAAGAGACATATAAGTAAAAGTGTATTTAGTGAAAAGGAGCAACAGTTGAAGTGTAAATAGCACAAATTCAATAAAGGTTGTCTCAATACTGCAAGAAAAAGTATCACCAAATCCAACAGCTGGTTATTGTCTTCTAGACCTCACCTGAATTCTACATGCAGAGCTGGTTCCAGTATTAACCTATCTAATTGCCAATGTGCTTTAAGTGGTAACAGCAAAAAAGAAATAAAATACCTTTGGTTAATGTGATAGGTCCAAAATAGTTGGCATCCATGATCTTTTTATCAAGTTCCAGTGAAATGCTCTGCACTGCTCCTTTCACCTTCATGCTTGCATTGTTGATCAGTATATCCACACAGCCATAGCAGTTCAGGATTTCCTTGGCAACATCTCGAATGCAGCTTATGTCTGTGATATCCAGAAGAATCAGCTTTGGTGCATATGTCTGGTGAACAAAAGCCTCATTTCAGTCAGTCTGAATGTATAGTTATTATGCACAAACTGTATTTGTATTTGTATTTGTATTTGTATTTGTATTTCTATTTCTATTTCTATTTCTATTTCTATTTCTATTTCTATTTCTATTTCTATTTCTATTTCTATTTCTATTTCTATCTATTTCCTTGTCTTGTAAATGAATTTACCTTGATACTCCAAGTGTTTTTGTCATTCTCACGTAAATTTAGGACTTTAAGATCACCTCACTGTAGAAAGAAGATAGTTCAGCAATGGGAGCTGGGGTTGTTCAGCCTTAAGAAGGCTCTGGGGGATTTTAATGCAGCTTCCAGGGCCTGAAGGGGCTCCAGGAAAGCTGGAGAGGGACTTTGGATAAAGGGATGGAAGGACAGGACACAGGGAATGCCTTCCCACTGACACAGGGAATGGCTAAATTAGATATTAGGGGAAATTCCTCCTTGGGAGGGTGGGGATGCCCTGGCACAGGGTACCCAGAGAATCTGGGGCTGCTCCTGAATCCCTGGCAGTGCCCAAGGCCAGGCTGGACAGGGCTGGGAGCAGCTGGGACAGTGGAAAGTGTCCCTGCCATGGCAGGGGTGGCACTGGGTGGTGTTTGAAATCCCTTCCAATCCAACCCATCCTGTTCTGTGATTCTGTGATAATTGGTGTTCACAGACCCTGAACTTCAGATGAAGCAGAACACCACTGAAGGGTCAGCTGGACCAGCTCCTAGTGAGTTTTGTCTCTCTTTTAATGAATGGTAACAGAAAATTGACACAAGGGTGAATCCTACCAGTTCAAGGGTCTTCCTGGGAAGAACCCTTTGCTGACCAGAAACTGGGGTTCAGTGCTTTGATAGATGAACCACATACACACGGAGACAGATGGAAGGCAGGCCTGCTATAGGTTTACATTTGTATGATATATATGATATGATAAATATGATAAATATTATATATATGATATATATTATATGGATTATATGGATGATATGGATGATATGAATGATATAGATGATATGTATGATATGTATGATACGTATGATATGTATGATATGTATGATATGATGTAATGGAGTTTACATTTGTATGATTTCTGCAAAAACAGATTTTATCAGCTGTGGGGCAGAGGAATGAATGTGAAGTTTTTTCTCTTTACTATATTAATTAGACAATGTAATGCAGAACTCTTAGTCATACTTAATATTTTTCCCTAGTTGAATCTGTGCAGGCCAACATGAACACAGTACTTTTGTGGTTATTTATGTAGATGAATGAAGCCCATTGAAGAAAAAAAAAAAAAAAAACCAAAGAAAAAACTCCACAAATATTTGTAGGTCTGATGAGCTGCAAAATTTATGTGATGCCTTCAGGAACACCTGTGCCCTGGAATGAGTCAACTGAATGTTGGTCACAGAAGGGAAGCTTTGCCAGGAGCCTCAAAAACACCTGCCAGAGAGCTGGAGCAGGGACAGGTCTGCATCTCCACTGTCAGTGGCCATGAGGAAAAAAGATTTTTCTTTTTTCACTCCAAATCCTGGAGTGAAATACCTGGGACTTTCCCCCAAATTATGAAGAATCTCAAAATGAATTTGATCTTTAGACCTATCTCCCACTCCTTGAGCAAATAAATGATATGAAAAACTGACAGCATTTCCTGCCATTAAAGGAAACATTTGGATCTATTTTATCCAAATTATCAGGCAAATTCCTCTGCTGAGGATTTCTAGCTGGTGGCTTGTTCAGAACACAGGAGATCCTCACAGGATTAGAGCAGGATTTTGGCATCATGTCTCTCTGGACTGTGCTTGCTTTTGGTACCTGGGTGACCAAAGCCATCACTGAGAGCAAATTGTGTTTCTTGGACGTTGTTTTACTGGAATTAAAATTACATTATTTTACTGGAATACTGGAATTAAAATTCCATTCTGTCCCTGAGCAGGGTTTATTCCAGGCTATGAATACCTACCGTGCTGGGGTCTGTCACACTAATTAAGGCATCATACAAGGCTTCCAACTTTTCCCACGTCCTGCCACACAACACAAGCCTTGCTCCTCCTGCATGAAACACACGAGAACATTCTAGGAGAGAAAGACATTAAAAAAATAATTATAATTGTGGCAAATTGATTTTGATTATTTTGCTTGAAATGGGATGCTGGTTTTGCTAAGGGTGTGAATCCATGCTTTAAAATTCTTTAATTTCAAATAATATGAGAAAAAAGAAAGCATTGACTTGTGATAGTACATAGGTGAGAAATAAATTAAAATTAAATTTAATGCAATGGGATAATGCCTGTGTTGAATAGGCAACAGAACAACCCCAGTGCTGTGGCTTGCTGTTCTCTAGGAAATATTTCCTCCAGATTTCAGCACCCACAGGAAATCCAGTTATGCTAATCTATCCATTTTAGATTTCTTAAATTACCATGTTAGACTCTTAATATCTGTAGGGAAGTATTTATGGATCCACCCTTCTAGTTTTGCAAACCTGTGCAGCTGTAAGTCTTTATTTAAGCAATCTTTTTCATTATTTACAACAGTAATTTTATGAACGCCTTCCATTTTCTTTTTTTTTTTTTCCAGCATAGAAGGATTTTTAATTTAATGCCCAAAAGAGTATTTGCCAGAACAATTATAGCAACATTTTCCCTATAAACAATAGTTGCGACAATCTGGTGAAAATAAATTAGAAAAAAACTTCTATGTGAACAGCAATAAAGGTGTAAAGGGAAAGCAATTATGTTCTTCTCTAGAACTTCCCTGAACTTTTTTGAGTTCCAGCACTCAGAAGGAACAGGAACTAAGTTTCAATAACAATCACAAACCACTGAAAACATCTTCAATCATCATGGATTTGTTTCTCTTTTTTAACTTTGATGAGTGTCCCCTTTAGCCCGGAAATTCTGGCACGTAGGAAAAGAATTTGGCTGTTTCCTTAGAGCCCACGCCCACAGCAGCTGGCCACACAGCTGGTATCTTACAGCTTGCAATGGATGGCCAGCACATATGCCAGAGTGGAAAGTTAATTTTGCATTATTTGGACTCATTCAAGCCTGCAAATAACATCCTGGTTTCAACCTATGGGATACTAGTCATAGGTACATTTATATATAATAATATAATGTAATGTAATGTAATATTATAATATTATATTGTATATATAATGTAATGTAATGTAATATATATAAGATAATATTATATATGTAATGTAATATTATCATATCATATTATATATACAATGTAATGTAATGTAATGCAATGCAATGTATATAATATATTATATATATAATGTAATGTAATATTATATAATATTCTATATAATGTAATGCAATGTAATATATAATATAATATAAATATAATTATATATTATATAATATATAGTATATATTATATAGCATACAGAATTATATATTATAGTATATATTATATAGAATTATATATATTATTTATTTTTATATATAAATATATTATTTTTTAATATATATAAAATAATAAAATATGTGGATCTCTTGAGGCCTTCTAATAAATCCCTGCTTTACTCTCTAAGCTCACCCTTCCTTGCCCCCTGAAGTGTCCCTGCCAGAGCCAGGCAACCCAGCTGAAAGCAGTGCCGGGGAATTCGGGTGATGGAGGGGAAGAGATGCACACAGGGCCAGGGGTGAGCATTGCTGCTCACAGAACTGCTGAGGTCTCTAAGGGCTGAAAAGGAACATGTAAAACGTTATGTGACACCTGTTTGTGCAGCCACCCTGCACTGACAGCCTGTGAAATGAGATCTTACAGTAGCAACATGCTAAAAATACCTCTCTGTGTTCTTCCAAACCCTCTCCTTCCATTGAATTAAACAAACACAAAGCTCTGCAGCTCCTACTCGTTTACCAACACTCCCCATGACTGAGGCTAAAAATATACACTTCAAAACCATAGGATTCGTTTATAAATATATTTTTTAACTCCTGCTTCATCCAGCCAGTTCTGAATGCGTCCAAGGCAATGTGTGCATGTTTATCACCCAGAGGGTCGCTCTCTGGTTAATACTCATCTCTTGGAGCCAGTCTCATAAGCTCCCAGAAATAAGCATTATTTCTGAGAGCTTATGTGATCATCTTATTTATAAGCATTATTATTAATACCCTTGATAGCTCAGCCCTCAGATGGCATAAAAGTAGCAGGATGGCTCCTGTGACAGGGTTGTAAACAGAAAAGTTTTAATAAAAGGCAAAATAAAAAAACTCTTTACAGAGAAAAACCGAACAAGGGCAAGAGGTTTTTGCTCCTGCTAAAAAACTTCACAAAAGCGATTTAATTCTTTTGTTCTCTTCTTTTGCTAGTTAATTGCTTAGGTGGAACCTTTTGGCTTCTGTCCAATTGGCTATCCTTAAGTTTGAGGTGAAGTCCCCAAGGTCCTATGAGGTGTCTTTTAACCAAATTAAAGATAGAAACTTCTGGGTTTTTTTCCTTTCTAAGGAGACAAAAAGTAACTTGTTTACTCCATCAACAGGGAGAACATTCCTACATCTGGCTGCTTCTGAGAAGAAAGGAGACAACTCACCCTTGCCCAGTCCGGAGATGGCATCTGTGATCACCACCACCTTGTTCTGCACCGCTGACTTGGACAGCAGCCACCTGACTGACTGGTAAATATAAATAATTCCACTGATCCCCAAGAGAAGCAATGGCAGAGCAAGTACAGAAAACACACCCATGGCTGTGGAAAACAAAAGACCACATGAGAGTACAGTAATCGCAGTACACATTCATTATTTTTCAGTTATTCCCACCTAAAAAAACCTATAGAAAATCTACTGATCAGCATGCCAAAGCAGCAACTTGAAACAGTAGGAAGGTAATTTTCCAATAAATGGTGCAATATTGGTTTTTTAATCAACAGGGTAATGTTGTTTCTTTGTCTGTTTTCCTAATCTTTCTATGGGCTGGCAAATCTGGGTTCCTTTTATGCAAAATTACTGTATGTAGCCAAGACAATAATAAAAAATACATGTGTGTATGTATAAATATATGTATATTCTATTATGCCTTGAGGCAAAACATGAAATAAACACTGAACTTTTAATTACACTGCTATTATTAGAAAACAGAGAAAAAGCTTTTAATCCAAATTTTAGATGAAACTCACAACAGAAGTCTTTTCTGTTCTAAAAGACAGAGAAAATACAATCACTTACCATGGCTATGAAGTCCCCAGATACAGACAGACCATTCTATTGTATTTTTGCAATTCCAGGTTTAATTAAGATCCTTCAGCACTTTCCCAGAGCACTGATTTGTTGAGGCTGCTTGCCCTGAATGAGAGTGGCTATGTATGGCCCGGTGGCAGGGTAAATATAGCCTGGCAGTGTGATCTGCATGCCTGACCTACCCACCAACAGCCTGGGCAGTCACAGAAGAGCTCCTAGAACAGTTCCAATCCACCTGTACCACCTCTCCTTCTGTCGATTTTTAACTTCTTTTCCACAGAAAAGCTCTTAGAACAGTATTAATTGACTTGTACAAAGAACCACCTCTTTTTCCGTCGATTTTTAACTTCTTTTCTGCCTCTGCCAAGGTCGGGGTTGAAGCGCTCAGGATGGTATTTGGTATTCAGACTCAGATGTTTATTATTTCTTATCTATTATTATATTATTTCTTATCTGTAAGACTATCTACAGTCTTACAAGTCCTGATTTCTACAGCATTTTACTGCCAAGCCAAAAAATGGCTAACCATCTTTCTTTACAAGGTCTTTTAAGGCTAAAATATCCAATTAAGAAATGACACCTAAGTAATTTTTACTTTTAACCCAATAACCAACCACCTGTCCCCCGCAATTTGGATTTTTCTGTCCAATTACAAAATACCACAAAGCACACACTAGAGATAGAGGATTTATTTGGGTTCCAAGTGATTGGTTTCCAAATGAACCAGAATAAAGGTATAAGAAATGTAAGAAATACTAGGAAAAACTCAATTGAAAGAACTAGATAGCCCACAGTGTGTAAGACTGTAAAGATAAAATGCTATCATGTCCATTATTATAAAGAAAAATTGTAAAGAAAAACTGACAGAATTATCTGGTAAAATGCAGATATACATTGAGTGCATTAACCAAAACACCCAAATCTTCAGAATCACAGAAATCTGAGCCAGAAATACCAAAGAAATGCACTGCGAAAATGACAGAAACAGCAGAGTTATGCACTGCCACCTTCAGAGCACTGCTGGGAACACCAGAGGAACAAGGACATTTAAAAATTGTTCTAGAGGGTGATGCCTTGAGAAGGCTGGCCTAGAGCAGAGGCTGGACAGAGTTAAAGAATAAAGTAGGGATTTATTCAAAGGATCTCCTCATGGATCCACCTTGGGCAGCACCAGAGCCCAGCCAGGGCTGCACCCAAATGAACCAAAATGGTCACGGGGGCTCTCACTTTGATAAGTTCTGCTCCATTAGCATATTGGAGTTAATTGTGCAATTTCAGCTTCAGGTTATGAAGCCCCATGGTATGACATTACGCATTTATATGATATATAAAATCTGGTTTTCTCTCTTTATTCCGCCTTGTTCGCGCGCCTGGGCCTGCTGGAGCCGCCACTTCCGGGTGCGTCACGTGGGCCGCGCGTCATGTGACCTGCGGCGCTGCGGGCCGGAGGTGGGAGAGACCCGGGGGGACCCGGTGGGGATGTGGGGTCACCGAGGGGATTCGGGGTTACTGAGGGGATTTGGGGTCACCGAGGGGATTTGGGGTTATTGAGGGGATTTGGGGTCACTGAGGGGATGTGGGGTCACTGCGGGGCTGTGGGATCATTGAGGAGATTTGGGGTCACTGCGGGGATGTGGGGTCACTGCGGGGCTCTGGAGTGCCCGGGATCGCTTCGAGGGTCAGAGCGCAGGGGGCTGGGCAGCGGCTCCGCAGGGACGAGGCCGGGTCCCGCCGGGTCCCCCCGCTGCCGCCCCCGACGCCGCCCGTGCCCCCCCAGGCCATGGCCGCCCCCCGCCCTCCCCGGGTGGTGCCGGGCGAAGCCTCCGAGAGCGACTCAGAGCCGGAGCTGCTGGTGGAGACGGGCGGGGAGGCCCCCGCAGCCGGGCTGAAGGTGCCGGGCGAAGCCTCCGAGACGGAAGAGGAGGAGGAGGAGGAGGAGGAGGAGGAGGAGCAGCAGAGGCCGAAGACGCCGCCGGTGCTGGCGGAGGAGCCGGCGGCCGTGTGGGCGGGCGGCCCCTCGCTGCTGCAGCAGCGGCTGCGGGAGGGCTCGGGCCGGCTGCGGGCCGCGGTGGGCAGCGCCCTCCGGCACAGCTACGGCAGCGCCGCCCGCAGCCTGGGCGGGCTGGAGGCAGCGCTGGGCCGGGCGCAGGTGACCGCGGCTGCGGCCGCGCACTGCCTGCGCCTGGCCCGCCGTGATCTGCAGGCTGTGGCTGACACCATCGACATCGTCACGGCGTGTCACCTCCTGCCCGACATCCGCGGGCAGCTCTGACCGCCAGTGGCACCGCGTTGGCATCCCCGCTGCGGATGGCACCGGCGGCGGCACCAGCACTGCTGTCCTCGGCATCGCCACTGTTGTCATGGCAGGGTCGTCAGTGCAGCATCCTGCTTAGGGTTGAGTTGTGGTGACATCGAGTCATGTTTGCAGCACCCCACACTGACCCTGAAGACCTCCTCACCACGGTGGCATCATCACCAGTGTAGCCACAGTGACACCAAACAGTGGCCTTGGCACAGAGACTGCCAGCCTGGTGCCCCAGGACCTGCGTGCTCCCCTGGCCAGCTGCCACCATCCCTGAACTGCAGCCTGGTGCTGGCTCATCACCATTGTCCCCAGATGCCACTGTTTTATGTGAGATGGAACTGAATAAAGCTGTGGTGGTGTCAGAGCCATAGTGGGGAGCTCGGCCCGCACTGCGAGGACAGAAGTGTTGCACGAGCTGGGACAGAGTAGGGTGACATGCGTGCTGCTGTCACATTTGAGTTCACTGGTAGCCCAGGGGATGAAATTGGTAGCCTGGGCTGTATTCCCCATGTCCCCAGGCACTGGTATTGTCACCCTCTTGTGATGTCCCTGGTGCCCCCAGCCCCAACACTGTGTCCCGCCTGGGGGACACTGCCCTCGCCCCATCCCAAGAAGGACACTTGACTCTGGGGCCAAAGAAGGGTTTATTTGGGGGAGCATTTGTACCAAAACTCCAGAGGACACAGGGAGAGGGTGTGTGTCCCTGGAGGGGGTCACATGCAGGTGTTCAGGCTGTCCATGTACTCCTGCAGAGCCTGCAGCCGGGCATCGATCTCAGCCAGTTCAGCTGAGGGCTCCTTGGAGCGGTTCTCTGGGGAGGTCAGTGCAGGAAAAAAGGGTTAACAAAGGTCTGGATTGGGGTATCCCTCAAATATCAAGGGGCTCAGGTGGGGCCTCACCTTTACCAGGGCGCTTGCCAGCAGTCCTGCACACCGGCAGCTTGTGGCTGGCAGCTGGGCGAGGCACCTGGGGGGAGGTTGGGGTCACCAGTGACCTCCTGGTCCCCTTGCTTTGGGATGAAGAGGGGTGGGGGAGCCCCAAAGGGGCAGCCACTCACCACAGAGGGGCCATTGCAGAGCGAGGTGCTCAGGGGTCTCCGTGTACGGGTCACTCTCCTGTCCCTGCCCAAGGGGGGTGGTTAAAGGCTGCTGGAAGGGACTCCAAGCATCCTGCCCAACCCCAGCGTTACCTGCAGGACACGGGCTCGGGGCGCTCATGGCCTTTGCTGCCAGGGCTCCCTCCCAGGCGCCAGCTCCGGGAACTGTCAGCTGCAGGGAGAAATGGGGGTGGGGGAAGCTGAGGAAGGAGCCCCAGCACGCAGTGGGTGCACCCCCAGCCCTCCTCCTGCTCCCCACTCACCAGACGAGCTGCGCCGGTGGCTCCTCGCCGGGCTGCTGCTGCCAGAAGCCACTCCACGCCGCTGGCTGCACCCGAGGGAGATGGTGGTCAGGGGGAAGACGGGGCTCAAGGGAAGAGGAGACCCCCGAGTACCAGGGAGGGATGGTGACGAGCTCTCAGCACTGCTTACTTTCTGAGCTCAGCTTCCTTCTGCCGGCGCTGCCGGGCCCTGACAAAGGCAGTGGGGTCGAAGCGTGGTGGGCGAGAGCCTGGCAGGGGAGGCAGAGGAGGGGGTCAGGGTGAGGAGGAGCGAGCCATGTCCTGTCTCCACTCCTGGGTGTGTGTTCCCAAGTGTCCCACACCTGCAGGTGACAGGGATTTTGGCGAGGGGTTGCCCCGGCTGCTCCTGTGGCTCTCCAGGGATGCTGAGCGTCGTTCCCGGGCATGTGGGGCCGGGCTGGCAGATTTCTGGCGGCTGCCAAGAGGACCAGTACCATCAGGAGGGGACAGGAGGACACCCCACGGTGGTGAGGGTCCTCCTGCAGGGTTCACCCCAGCCTCACCCTCTCCTGCAGGAGGCCAGTTCAGCTGTCAGGTTCTTCACCCGCAGCTGCAGCTTCTGCTCTGATGCCTTTGCCTGGGCCAGCTTCAAGGGGGAAAAAAGGCTCAGTGTGCATCTGGCAGCCCCTGTCCCTCCCCAGAGCAGCTCCCACCCCTCCCAGCCCACCTCTGCAGCCAGCTGCCGGTACTCGCGCTGGTGCCGGCGCTCTGCTGCCCGCTTCTCCTCCAGCGCCTTCCACAGCCTGGGGAGAAGGGCAGGGGGTGGTCTGGGGGTTCTTCCTCACTCTGAGAGACAGCAACCCCCAAACCCATGCTGGTGTCACCGGCCCCACTCACGCGTCCCGCAAGTGCTGGGTCTCCTCCAGGCGCCGGGCCCGGAGCTGGCCCAGCTGCTCCTGCAGCTCCCGCACCAGCGCCACGAGGTCCGGCCGGCCCGCGTAGGGCAGCGGCAGAGGGTAATGGATCCTGGAGGAGAGCACGAGCAGGGCGTGAGGCTGCAGTCACTCCCCCGTGAGCCCTGCCTGGCGTCCCTTGTCACCTATCGAACTCCACAGAGTAGACCAGGATGAGGTAGCGCCTGGTGCTGAGGGGGGAAGAGGTGGAAGGGGGAGGCCGGGTGATTGCTCCCACTTTCCGGCTGTGCAGGGTCTCCAGGTCGGTGAAGGTGAGGAGCTCCAGGCTGACAGAGTCGCTGCTCTGCAGAAAGTTTGAAAAGCTGAAGGGTTCGGTCCAACACACACCCCAGCCCAGGTACCCCCAAAACACCGTGTGGGAGAGCAGCACAGCCACACCTGTGTCAGTGCCGACTCCAGCATGTTGCAGAAAATGCCAAACTGCTTGAAATTCCCCGTTTTGCGGGTCAGGTCCTCGATAACTGCAAGGAGCGGGGGCATGTTTTGGTCAGTGGCAGCCGTGGGAGATCCCCTCAGCCCCCAGGATCCCTCCTGCACTCACAGGCGGCATCGAACTCTCCCCTCCACAGGTCGCTGGTGCCGTGAGCCTCCACCTCCACCCGCAGCGTGCTGCGGCTCAGGGTCACCCGCACCGTGTGCGCCCCGGGCCGGAAAGCGCACTCGGCCTGCAGGTACCGCGGCTCGGCCATGGCCACTGGGGTACCCCAGAGACACAAAGGGCACCCCCAGAGACACAGAGGGCACCCTGGGCAGGCAGGGGCACCCCAGAGACACGGCGGGTACCCCAGAGACACAGAGGGCACCCCCAGAAACACAGAGGGCCCCAGAGACACAGAGGGCACCCCCAGAGATACAGAGGGCACCCCAGAGACACGGAGGGTACCCCAAGAGCACAGAGGGCACCCCCAGAGACACAGAGGGCACCCCCAGGAGCACAGAGGGTACCCCAAGAGCAATGAGGGCACCCCCAGAGACACAGAGGGCACCCTGGGCAGGCAGGGGCACCCCAGGAGCACAGAGGGTACCCCCAGAGACACAGAGGGCACCCCCAGAGACACAGACGGTACCCTCGGGAAAGGGGACCCCCGCTGGAGGGCTCGGAACAGCGGAGCTGGGGTGGGCTCTGGGCTGGTGAGCGCAGAGCGGGAGCGAACGCGGAGCCCACAACGCCACAAGCGGACCTTGGAGCTTTTGTTGACTTGGGCTCTGCTGGGGGCGGGCGCAGCGCGGAGGGGTGGAGAGGATACGGAGGAACAAGGGGAGAGCCGTGCTGCCTGCGGAGCAGGGCGAATCCCAGCGCTTGGCGGGCCCGTTCAGGAGGTACCGAGGGAAGGGAACCGGGGGTGGCCGAGCCCGCGGTCCCGCTCAGCCCAGGGAGCAGCGCGGCCGCACCGGGGGAACCTCACCGCCCGCCGCGCTCCGCCGCGCCTCGGCCGCGCCCCGCCTCACCGCCTGCCCCGCCCTCCCCACCGCCTCATTGGCTGAACGCACCGCTCCCCTTCGCTCATTGGCTGCCGGAGCTGCCCGTCATCGCAATGCCGTTAGCCGCTCTGCGCTGCCCGCCAGCCTCCCGCTGCTATTGGTTGTCCGGCGAAGCCCGCCTCCTGTTCTCGCTGCGCCATTGGTTAATGGAGCTGTCGCTCATTTTGGGGGCAGAGGTGGAGCCACGCCCTCGCCGTATTTTTCCCATTCATCAATGAGTGGAATCCTTCCCATTGTTTCTTTTACCTCTCAGTGCCAGTTTTACCCACCAGCAGACCCACAGCTTGTTTGTAAAGGCAAACCCTTCATTCCTCTCGTCCCCAAGCCCCTCTGTGACCCCCACGCTGGTCTCTGCTGTGCCCTCGGGAGCTTTCCGTGGGGAGGGACAGCAGAAGATCCCAGGGACCTGTACTGAACACAGTTCCCAGTGCCGGGCAGACAGGGCCTTCTTGATTCCCATGGCAACACTGGAACAGTTGCTAGCTCTAGTTAAGTACTGATATTGAAATATTAATTAGCTAATTGCTCTGTTTGTTTTCTCTAAACCACCTGGAGATCACCTACCCCCCACCCACACTGCCATTTTAGGACTGAGATGCAAATAGGGAAACCCATGGAGCCATGGGAGCGTGTTTTGGGGGATAAGGACACCCCTAAATGAAGAATTAAACACAGTTGAGGGGGCAGGACAGGTACGTAGGCTGGCTGAAGAAGAGGTAAACACATCCCCCGATGGATGTTTGACCTGTCACCATCACCTACAGAAGACTAGATTAGAGTGGGCTATGGAAAGCCGGAATAAAGATTTATCACAGGAAAGTAGAGGGGACGGCTGCTGCTGGGGATTTCAGTAACAGGCTCTGTGTAAAACCCCCTGCCCAGCTGATGTTTTTAACCAAGAGCTGACCATTACCAAAGGCATAAGCCCTGTTTATTGCAGGACCGAGGGGCACTCAGCGTGCCCCCCAGGCCAGGGCATGGAGCCTGCGGGCAGCATCGCGGAGCCGCCCGCGGTACTCGAGGCGGCGCTGCAGCCCCGGGGGCACGGTGGCCATGTCCCCTCGCAGCCCCCAGCAGCCGGCAGCGATGGTGCCCGTGGAATCGCTGTCCCCGCCGTGCAGCACCGCCCTGGCACACAGCTCGTCCCAGCTCCCGCCGGCCGCCAGCAGCGCCTCCAGGGCCACCATGGGGGCGTCGTGGCCGCTGCGCCCCGGCCACCCGTCCAGTGCCCAGCACAGGTACTCGGTGTCCCGCTCCGCTGGGGACGCGAGGGATGGCACCCGCGGTGGGCCGCTGCCTTCCAGGAGCCCACGCGAGTCCAGGTACCTGCGGAGGCATGGGGACACTGTCACTGGGGACACCAGGTACCTGCGGAGACATGGGGACACTGAGGTCACTGGGGACACCAGGTACCTCCGGAGACATGGGGACACTGAGGTCACTGGGGACACCTGCAGAGACATGGGGACACTGAGGTCACTGGGGACACCAGGTACCTCCGGAGACATGGGACACTGAGGTCACTGGGGACACCGGTGTCACCAGACAATGGGGTTAGCAGTGAACTGGGGGTCGCTGGGCTGCAGCTCTCCAGCAGCCTCTGTGACCCCAGAGAGCTGTGGGGACACTGGGGGACAGTCAGAAAAACTGGGGGTAGCAAGGCGCTGGATGCCATGGGCATTCAGTAGCACCAAGAAAGCTCAATGCCCCAGGGACACAGAGGTCACTGTCCCTGAGGATGGCATCTCTCTGGCAGGGACATGAGGGACACGATGGGCGCTGCCAGCCCTGTGGACAGACTGGGCATCAGGGTCAGCAGTGGCACCAGTGACACCACTGCAGTGCCCTGCCAGGACCGGCAGACAGCCTGGCTGGCACCAGTGGCACTAATGGACCTTTGAGCCCTTTGCAGGATCCTCCCAGCCCCTCCTTGTGCTCCCGGAGTCCCCCCAGAACCCTCACAGTGCCCCCTCACCGGTGCCACGCCTCCCCAAAGAATGGCCAGGCAGCAGCGTTGTCCTCCACGGCCACCCCGGTGCCCTCCACGTAGTCCCATGCCAGGGGCAGGACCCGCAGCAGCTCAGCCCCCCAGCGCTCTGGGGGTTCGCCCCGAGCCCCCAGTGCCCCAAAGAGGGCCACCGCCAGTGCTCCAAGATACCCTGTGGGGACAGGGGCTTCAGGGGGGTTCTGCTGTCCCCTCCAGCCCTCCCCTGCCCGTCTGGCACTCACCAGTGGGGTGGTGGTGGGTCATGCGCCCGCTCTCGATGCTCACCCGGATCAGAGTTGGCAGCTCTGAAGCGTGTGGGTACCTGCACTGGCGTCAGACCAGTCCCCACTCCCCTGCTCCTGTATTTCCAGTCTTGTCCCCATTCCCATACCACCACCTTTGTCCCTGCTCTCTTTGTCCCTGCTGTGCCCATTCTCCCAGCCCCATCACTTCCACATCCCACTCTTAGCTGCTCTGTGACCTGTGTCCCTCTTTGTTCTTCTTCCCTATTGCTGTCCCCATGTTCTCTGTCCAGCACCACATGTCCCCAAGTCCTGGGGACCTGTGTCCCTCTTCCCTATTGCTGTCCCCATGTTCTCTGTCCCCAGCCTCCCAGCTCCAGCACCACATGTCCCCAAGCTCTGGACCTTGTCCCCTCCAGCTCTACCAACTCCATGTCCCCACTCCACTCTGTGTTTCCTCATTCCTCTCCCTCTGACATCCTCATGTCCCTCTTACCCCTCATTCTAACACCCCCAAATCCCTGTCCCCATTCCCCCAGCTCTGATACCCACACCCCTGTCCCCGAGTGTCCCCAGGTGTCCCTCGGTGTCCCCGTGCCCACCTGAGGCCGATGGCCAGGCTGCGCATGGCGGCGCCGCAGCCGGTGCCGCGGGGGTTGAAGGGGATGCGATAACCCTCGGGCTCCCCCGGCCGCAGCTGGGAGGTGCCTGGGGGGACACAGGGGCGTGAGGCTCCCTGAGCCCCCTGCCTCTCCTCCCTGGATTCCCACACTCACCTAGGATGCTGCTGGGTCCAGGCTTGCGTCCCTCCATGTCCCCCATGGCGGCCACATAGCGGCGAGCCAGCTCCTGCAGGAGGGCTTCTCCCTCCAGGCCTGTGCAGGGTGTGAAGAACACACCCAGGTTACCCAGGCTGGCAGGGAGAGGCCCCAGGAACCCCCCCAAAACTGCAGGATAAGTTTAGTGGATAATAATTTGTCTATTCCAGCCAGGTCTCATAAGCTCTCATAGACAAGCATTATACCCTTGATAGCTCAGCTACCTCAGGTGGCATAAAAGTAGCAGGATGGCTCCTGTGACAGTGGTGGAAACAAAAAAGTTTTAATAAAAAAGCTCTTTACAGAGAAAACCGAGCCAGGGCAAGAGGTTCTTGCTCCTGCTAAAACACTTCACAAAAGCGATTACATCTTTTGTTCTCTTCTTTTCTAGTGAATTGCTTAGGCAGGACTTTTTGGCTCCTGTCCAATTGGCTATCCTTAAGTTTGAGGTGAAGTCCCCAAGGTCCTATGAGATGTCTTTTAAACAAATTGACGAGAGAAACTTTTGGGCTTTTGTCCTTTTTAAGGAGACAAAGAGTAACTTGTCTACTCCATCAACAGGGGCACATTCCTACAAGTGGAGAAATGGGGACTCTTCCTGAGCACTGCAAACTGAGTGGAAAGGGGTACCCTGCTATGTTCCCAAAGTGTGAGGGGGAAATCCCGGGGCTGTAAGGGGACACCCAACCGCACCCCCAGACACCAACCACACAGCCCAAGGAACACAACAGGGACCCCCCACCCCTTAGGGGACATTCAGTGACACCCCCCTCCAGTGCCAGCCTGGGGTACAACAGGGACCCCCAACCCCAGGGACCCCTCCCTGCTGTCGGTGGGGCGTCCCTCACCTGTGGCCAGCCCCTCGGCGGTGGCGAGGTGCAGGACGGTGTCATCGCTGACGGGCCACTCGGGGGGCTCCAGGCTGATGGCTGCCAGCCCCCCCAGCTCGGCCAGCTCGCTGTGGATCTGGGGGCCCGAGGTGCAGTACTCCCAGCGGGCTCCCCGGTAGCCCAGCGCGTCCCCCACCCCGCTCAGCACCATCGCCGCCTCGTAGGTCTCCACCGAGGGCACCCTGAGGGGACAGAGGGTCCAGAGGGTGCCAGCGGCGGGGGAAGCCCCAGGGATCCCGGTGCACTCACGTCTCCTCCATGGTGAGCAGCTGGGAACGCCTGTCAGGCTCAGGGCATGCGGCCAGTGCTGGCCGGGCGCCCTTAAGGGGACCAGAACAGGGATGTGGGGTACAGGGCTGTGCCCCACAGCCAGAGGGAAAAAGCAGGGAGGGACCCCAGGGCCATCCTGCGTGGGGGAGGCAGAGGGAAAGAGAGGCTCCAGGGATCCAAATCTCTTTTCACAGACAAAGCTTTAAACTGTGGCAACAAAGCATCCTTTGAGGACACAAAACCGAACTTCAGGGTTCAAACTGTTTTCAAAGCTCAATTTTTAGGGCCCCAAGCCCCCTGTTTAAGAACCAAACCTTCTTTTGGAGGGTCCAAAAGCCTCTTTTACCACTAAAGTTTCCACTGGAGTACCTGAAGCCCTCTAGTCAGCACCAAAGCTTCGCTTCTTGGGGCCAGAGAGGATCACCTCCATTGCAGGGTACAGATGGTCATTTATAGCATCTCACCTATTAATTTTTTTTATGCCTAAAGCCTCCACTTTAGGCCCAAACCCCTAATTTTTGGCTCCCAACCTCTCTTATATTAGCTGTTGCTTTTTTTAGGGCACAGAGTTTCATCTCTTGGATCAAAACCCTCATTTATTGGACAGAAATCCTGCCTAGGCTACAAATCCACATTGTGATGGTCCAAAACTTTATGTTTCTTTCCCAAGGTCTTAGTTCTGACTTCCTAATCAGCTCCTTTTAGGCTACAAAGTCTCATTTTTAGTGTCCAAAAAATGTTTCAGTTCACAACTTCTCTTTTTTGTGAGTTCCAAGCAGGGCTTTTCCTCTCCAAAGCCTTCTTTTCAGGCAATTTGGCTCTTTTCCCAGTTAAAAAAACCCAACCAAACAAACAAAAAAACCCACCAACAACCAAACCTCTGTTCTTTCTTGCTTGATCACACTCTACAGAAATTAAAGTGCCACCTCAGACAGGGTTTGGTTCTGAAGGCAAGTTTACTGTCTGAATCATAACCTCCAGGTTGATGATAATGAAATAACAGAATTCTCACGAATTAGTGAAACCAGGAGAGGCACCAACAAACCTTCCACACTGGGCTTCTGGAGGGCAGATTTTGACCTTTTCAAGAAGCTGATTTGGAAAGTTCCTCGGGAAGCAACCCTTAAAAACAACGGGGTCCAGGAAGGATGGATGTACTTCAGGAAAGGAATCCTGAAGGCACAGCAGCAGGCTGTCCTGTGTGCTGGAAGATGAGCTGTTGGGGATCACAACCAGCAGGGAACTTCTGAGGGGACTCCTGTTCTTCATGTGCAAGCCTCACTGTGGGCGAGTGAGCAGCTGGCAGAGCTGTGCAGGTTTCTGCAGTGTTTCTCTGAGTGTTTCCTTATTAGAGACTCAGAGGAGAGTCAGCGTGGTCTGCTGGTGCTCTTTGTGCAAGCTGCTCCCTACTAGAGACACTTTTGGTACTTCCTGCACTCCTCTTCTTCCTCTCTGGCATTGCAGGAGTCCGATCGCCTGCTCCTCCCTCCTCCAGGCTGACACTCTGCCCTTGTCACTGCTGGAGTGGCATGAGCCCCCTGACCCAAGCACCACTCCTGGCGTCCCCTGCCAGCTTGCTGAGCATCCTCTCTGCCCCAGCATCCCAAACAGGATCAGCCCCTGACCCTTGAGAGGTGCTGTTTGTTCCTGACTCCATACTTGTGGTCCACCCTCAAGGCCTGGCTCTCCAGCCCTTTTCAGTCACTATTGGCACATCCAGCCCACATCCCTTCCAGTGACTTAAACTTTATATTTAAAACAACAGATTGCTAGATGGGCACATGCAAGCACACAGCTCTCAAAATCCCATCACACAGACATCACACTGTGGGTATTTCCACCAGCTGCCTCAAAACCTACAAAGGAGGAAACACCCTGTAAATTATTCATACAATGTCACAACCCACCAGTCAGAGGCATGATGTTCACTGGAAATTGTCATCAGGCTCAACAAAGACACTGGATGATGTGTCATGGAATTCTTTATGTTTTATTGTTGTCATAACTCTGGCTACCAGCCAAATATTTAGGCCCAAATGATGCTGGCTAACAAACCCTTAAATTCTACATTAGGCTTCCGTGAGTGGTGGCTGACAAGCTGGTCATTTCGTATAGTACATTTCAATAATTTCTCAACTCCCACCACAAGCTCCTCCAAAGTGCTGGCTAAAAAGGCACAGCACACTTCCACGAGCTCCCACAACAAACTTCAGTCTGGAGCATAGGGTAGAATCATTGCCATGCTTTGCCCAGATGAAGCAAGGGAGGAGAGTAACAAAGACAGAAAAGGGAGAGAGGACAAAGCTTATCACCAGTCCATAGATTCCCTGTTGGTTCTAGTGTGGGTGGTCTGGAGCAGGGATTGCAAGACAAAAAAAGAAAGCCAGAGAAAAAGAGGAAAAAGAGCCAGGGGGCCAATTGGCTTCTTTTTGTAGTTGATTTGGTGCCTACCTCTGACACAGACTAATTTTTTTGTGCTGTTTTCTTCATGCATGCTGTTTTGGGCCTCTTCTGGGAAGTGAGTATGAGTGTCAAAGCAGAGCAGGAATTTTCCTCAGCAGCCTTCTCCAACAACCTTTCCTATTGTAATAATCAGAATGTTTGAGACAAAACATACTTAGATCTGTTCCTCCACAGGCCAACAAGGGGTTTTAATTCTGGCTTTGGCTTTTCTGCCTGCTGGTTCCAAACAAGTGGGTTTTTGTTTGTTTCAGATGCTGGGCTGCTGCATCATCCAGGCTGTTTGTCTGACATGCATCTCTGGGATGCTCAGACCTCCACACCGACAGGTAAGAGTTTGTGATCTCCACAGCCTGGCTCCAGAGACTGTAGTCCTGCCATGAGGACCTGCCCAGCTCTCTTTGTACTGTCAAGGTTTGCACCCAAGCCAGGCTTGGTGCAGGCACCTGCTGGCAGATCCTGTCAGCGAGCCCTGGAGCTGTGGCATTCCTGGGAGTGTGGTCAAGTCCTAAATGACTGCTTCTCTTCCTCCTCCTTCCTGTTAAACTGCCATGGTTGGTGCTGTTGATGATCCAGCTGCAGAGGTCATCGCCCCACAGTGGGGATCTGCTCCGGGCTCTCTCCCTGGCATGGTTCCTCTGACTGTGCATCACCTTCATCCTGCCAGGCAGATCCTGTGGTGCTGAGGAACCTCCCTGCTGGTGGCTGGCCCCTCCCTCACCAAGCATGCCATGGGAATATGGTGGTGCTGGTGAGGAAGCCATCATTTCTCTTATTTTCGAATCCGAGCACCTGGAGGAAAAAAAGAGTTATCTCTGCTTCAGGCATTCCTTGTAGATTCCTCTGGGATTTAGTGATTTTCTTGGAGCAACAGAGAGATTTCACCAAGGTCACCAGTGGTGGGTTTAATTAAAGTCTTCCCACCAGGTCTGCCACTGTCAGAGCAAGTCCTCATCTTTTTACCCACTATGGCCTCCACTTCACATAATCCTAGAATTTGGATGAAAGAAATCTCATTCCAACCCCCATGCCATGGGCAGGGACACCTTCCACTATCCCAGGTTGCTCCAAGCCCTGTCCAGCCTGGCCTTGGACACTTCCAGGGATCCAGGGGCAGCCACAGCTGCTTTGGGCACCCTGTGCCAGGGCCTCACCAGCCTCTCAGGGAGGAATTTCTGCCCAGTATCTAAACTAAATCTTCCCTCTTTCACTTCAAAATAATTTCCCCTTCCTCCATCACTACACTCCCTGACAAGGAGTCTCTCCCCATCTTTCCTAGGGGATCCCTTTAAGTCCTCTTCTCTACATGAGCCATCTTCCAAGAGCAGACCAGAGGCAGCTTACACAGGGCAGCACCCTAAAGCCTGGCAGGGAAAGAGGAGGACTGGAGTGGGATATTTCCGAAGTGACAGCACTGGAGGGTGCAGGAAGGAATTGTCTTCTACGGCAGAAACACTCAGGAGGATGAGAAGACAAACAGCTAATTCAGGATAAGGAAACATTTTCTTACCACACGATCCTGGTTCTCACCTGGCATAAAACAGCAAGTAGGCTTGCTGCCCTAGAACTGTGTGGATGTCACAATTATCCACAGACTCATCGTCCATCCTGTACCACAGCCCATTGCTGGCCTGCAAAGAAAGGCACCCAGTTCTGGAGAGGAACTGCAGGGTTTCTTCATGCCCCCGTTGGGGCAGAAATGACACAGATAAATGAGTGGCATACATGCATTTTCAGAAGGCTAACAACAATTTTATGAGGAACCCATTCCTTTTTATACTCCAGTTCGCCACTGGTGGACCCGATTGGTCCTTTAATTAAAACACTGCCACCATTGGCTTATTAAGAAACCACCCTTTGGTGAACAACCTTATGAGGAAAACAGCTGATTACAAACAACACCTGTGGATTGTTTCCCTTTTGTATCATGGTTTCTCTCCAGCTCCCTAAAGCCTCCCAGACCAACTCACGGGAAAGCTTATCTAGCTTTCTCTCTCTGACCAGACTGTCACATCCACATCTCCACAACACCAAAGGCAGAAAACTGCCAGACCAGGAGTACACAAAAATAAATCCAATTGAGCCCAGAAGGAGACCTTCTCCCCCAAAACCTTGGCTGCCAGCAACACTGCTGGGAAAGTTTGTGTTTCCCAGCACACATTTCTCCCTGTCAGGAGGGAAGTTGCTCTTTACCTTTGCATAGCACAAAAAGTGTCCTTCGAGACAGGTGTCCCCACTGTGGACCACAATGGCATATAGGGAGCAGAGGAGGGGTTCTCCAGCTGTGTCAGACATGTATGGCCGAAGATCCAAGTACTCAGGGTACTCCACAAACTACAGAGACACCAAAAGGGCTCAGGAAGGATCCTCAGCTACCACATTAAATAGCATTCAGCATGTCGTGGCTTGGGTGGCAGGAAACTGCTCTGACAGAGATGCTTTGGCTGAGAACAGAGTCCTGCCTCATCTTTTAATGGGAATTCTCCTCTCCCCAGAAGGGAACGCAAAAATCCCAATGTGAGCATCTTGTGACAGAGCTTTGGGGAATCTTCTGCTTTGGAAAGAGAAAGTTACACTCCCCTTGCATGCACACCTTGTTGATCTTTGTGCCAGTCCACTGGTCAGCCCTTTCCAGACACAGCGTGAGGACTCGGGGTGCACGGTGGACTGTGACCTTCTTGGAGGCAGCAGCTTTCTTCTTACACCTTGAAAGCAAGCACACAGCCAAGTGCTGAAATGCACCCTGCCTTCCCCCAAGAAGGCTGGGCAACCTTTCCCCCATCTCACACATCCTTATGCTACTTTAAGGTTATTCAGAGGCATATAAAAAAAGTTGTGTCTTGTTATTGTGTGTGAAACCTCCTTGAGAAGATGAGTTGAGTGCCACGCAGCCCCTCACGCAGGATTGCTGTTATTATGTCATATGGAAACCTCTTACTTGCTACATCTGAAGCACCCTTTCTGATCCAGCTGCTTGGGTGTCACACAGTCCTCCAGAACTGTGGTGAGGGACGAGGCTGCCTGGAGGAGAGAGAAAGGAGCTGGAGGAAAGGCTCTCACCCAAACACTTCCCAGGAGCTGAGAAGAAGCCCGAGGCAGCTGATGCTGAGGAGAGCCAGCATCACCCCAGAAGGAGGCAGAAGGAGGGTGTGATGCTGAACATCTCCCTAGTGTCCCAGGGGCTCCCAGAGTCATCAAGAGCTGTCTCTGCGTTGGCACCGCACAGTTCAACTGCCAAAGGCATGCAGGGGCATCAGCAGTGAAAGCTGGTTCTGGGAGCCAGGTGGGTATTGAGGGAGGGCAAAGGAAGGAGCAGGAGAGTGTGTCAAGGCTGCAGAGGGGGTAATGATTGCTAGTCCAGCCCAAAGCCAGCAGCAGGGGCAGAGCAGTGCCATGGCTTCTGCAGGAGGACACTGAGGACTCTGTGCTTTCCCCCTCCCACTCACCACCAAGCCCCCTTGTGCTCGCAGCATAGGTTTTTAAGACAAGTGCTTTGGTGCTGGAAAGCTGCAGGGGCCTTGGGATGTCTTGAAGCTCAGTTGCAAAACTCTTACTTTGATATCCAAAGAGACATCCAGGAAGGCCTTGTAGGAATCCACAACTGCTTGGCAGCTCAAGCATGTGACTGGAAGGAAAATCAAAATGCTGAGTGAAATTAATTGACTGTGCTGGTTTATGCTGGTGGGTTCTCCCACACCAGCCATCACAGGACCAGCTGCTTGTCAGAGGTGGACAGAAGGGCACAGACAAGCCAAGCAAAGCAGCACTTGTGGAAACCTACCTCTAGATTTCATGAAGCCCCGGAATATTTGATGGACAATGGTAGTTTCTTGTGAAGAGACGTCCAAGCTGGAAATAAATGGCAAGGCAGAGAGTTACCTCCTCCAAATGTTTAGCACTGAAAGGTCTGGATGTCAGCTTTCCTTGATGGGAGCACACCAAGGAGTCCAGTGGGTTTGGGAAGATTGAAATTGCAATTTGCTTGTGCTTACTTGCAGCTCAGACAAGCTCTGTGCATGGCATCGAGCGTGCGGCGTAAGAACTTGTAGGCGTTTTCCTGCCTGTCATACTCGAACTCTTCTCCTATGACTAAGAAAGAATTTAGTAGCTCTCCCCTGGAAGAAGGGAAGACAAAGAAGAAAAGCTGCCAGAATGCCTGAGACAACTTACATTTGAGGTCTCTGAGGACAGCTCCAGGCAGGATGGCACTGGCTGAGGAACTCAGGACCTTCCTGACGTGAGCTTCCATGGTGCACATCATGCAGAAGCCTTGCTGCTGGCCTGAAGAGGGGAGAGAGCAAGGAAGGGAGGGACAGAAGCTCCTCAGGGTGACAAAACATCTCAGTTTCTTGGGAAACCTAATGGAGATCTTGAACTGCCAGTGTCTCAACAAGCCCAGGGCATTTGAGTGCGCAGAAAATATACTTCAGAGGGAGGCTAAACTCCAGAAGTGTTCTGTGCAATAAGCCAAGACAGTTCAACCTGCAGGGGTAGAAACTTGGGCCTAGAAGGAAGTGTTCTGCTGCAGGTGAGTGCACCTTGATAGGACAAGCCTCTTTTAGCTGATGCTCAAAGAACATAAGCTCATGGGGCTGACAAAGAAGGGCTGCTGTTCTCCTAAACCTGATTCCAGGTTCTGGGAATCCTTGGGATGTGGCCAAGAGATTTCCAAGGTGATGTTCAGCACTCACAGGACAGGCTGTGCTCGTAAGAGAGCAGGTAGTTGGCCAGAGGGGGTGTGTACGTCAGGCACTGCAGGATAGCATTGATGTAGCAAGTATTGCCCAGGTTGAAGAGTCCTGCTCCAGGTCTCTGTCTTTGCTGCCAGTCCATGGAAATCTTCTCTGGGGAAGAAATCCTTTGTGGCAGAGCCATTCCCTCAGAAATGTCTGCAGGGAAACGAAATTTGAAAAGAGATGAGACAATGTTGTTACTTAAAACCATATTCAAATGTTGAGTTGCCTACAGGAGCACCAAGGACAACAGCTCTTGTCACCAACTCAAACACTGGGGAAAGCCTAACACCCTGCTGACATCTACTGGTAGGGAAGCAGTTTTGGAAAGCTGTCTGTTCCCCTGTGTACTCTGCCAAAAATCCGACAAAATTGGATTTCTGGGCCTCAGGCCACCTTCCTTTCCCTCTGTGAGTCTTCCCAGGACTCACAGGAGCTGTTCCACCTTGCAGCCCTCACTCCTCTTGGAAACAGAAGGGAAATCTTCGGATCACGAAGCTCCAGAAAGATCTCCTCCAAAAAGATCAGCTCAGCACCAATCCCATCACTTGAAGGGAAAGGAAATAATTGTAGCTCAACAAAATTATTTAGAAACCCCAAACATCACCCACAAAGCACCTTCAGCTATCAAAAAAATTTTGGTGCTGCTTGTAGCTGTTGTCAGGGATGAAGACTGCTTGGAAAAAGGCAGGCCTGCAGTGGAAGGAGCCAAGATATCCTGAAGGCCATCTCAGCCCGGCTGGCTTTCAGTGGCTCTCTCCTCAGGATGCCAACATTTGGGCAGGTGAGATCACAATTGCTGGACCAGTGGACCAGTGCCCTATCTCTGCCTCTTTGTGACATGAGGCCACACGGGGCCATGTCCCTTTGAGGCCACAGAATTCCCTGGCTGTCACAGCCCAGGCACCTCTCCAAGTCCCTGGGCCAGGTGCTGTGGACAAGGGGCTCTGTCTGTCAGCAGAGCCTCTGCCAGGAGCTCCGGCAGCCAGAGGAGTCAAAAGCTGCTGAGGGCTGCACGCGAGTCCGGTCACAGTTTAGGTTGTCACACTTGGACTGCTGGGGGTTTCTGTTCCACTCTTCCCAGCTTCTTCCAGGCTTTTAAGCCCTTTAAGATCCTTTCTAAGGAGGAAAATCCTTCAGTTGTGGCAGTGAAGCATCCTTTGAGTGCACAAAACCTAACTTCAAGGCCCTCATTTTCATTTCCAAAGGCCCATTTTTAGTTCTGACAGAGCCAGTTTGAAGACCCAAAGTCCCTTTGAGAGGGTCCAAAACCCTCTTTTACAGCTCAAAGGTTCCACCAGGATGCCTAAAGCCCTCTAGTCAGCATCAAAGCTGACATTGCTGATTGGATCCAGAAGGCAACCAATAGCTTCAGCTTAAGTTTGTTGAGTGAAAAAAATTTCTTGGCACAAAATAATTCCTGTTGCCCTTTGGGTGTGATGTAAATAAGACTTTGTACGTGGAAGGGGAAGGTCAGTGGAAACTTTCAGTCCTGACACAGCTGATTTGAGAGCAGGGATGTTTGCAGCTTGGCTGTGAGTTTGGGGTAATTTTGAGCTGGGCTTGGAGTTTCCTTATTTTGCAAGTTTTTTTTTCTGGGCTTTCTGGGCTTTTCCCAGCCCCATTTGTGTGGGAGCAGTCCGTGTGAGAGCTCCCTTGTGGATCCTGCCTCTTGCAGACTGGCAGAACATGATCCTGCACAGGGCTGGGAAGGAAGATAAACCATCTCCTTGTTGGTTCTGCAATTTATAGGCTGCAAACCAAAATTGAATTCTGTCAGAATCTGCAGATATTGATGATCCCGAGATTGTAGAAAGTCTCTGTCTGTCAGCCCCGCTGCCAAAGCAGAAGCCATAATTGGTCTGTGCTGGTTTCAAGGTTGTTTATTCTGTTTATCTCTAACATGTTCTGCTGCCCTGCCGCAGCTCTGTCCTGCAGGGCAGCGTGTGGGGCTCTGCCCTCAGTGGGATGGTACAAACATTAAATACCAGAAACTACCTGTGCTGGATTTACAATAACGTGCCAATATCTGTCACCTACGTTGAACAGTGTGTCCCCAGCCTGAACCAACAGAAAAATGCCAACACCACAGTGAAACATGGAGGGCATGAAGAAGGAGAAAAAGGACAAGACACACCCAATTTCCTCCATCTTGTCCCCTTTGGACCCCTTTTCTAGAATCCTAAAATTTTACTTTTGCACCCGTGCCACACTTAATTATTACTTATATCAAACACTCAGAGCTGATAATTCATGCTGTAAGATTGAAAACTCTTTTCCATGGACAGAGATCACAGCCAGTGTCTCTGGGGGCTCTGTCCAGGGGGGTTCCTGACCCCTGCCAGGGTCCCAGAGCTGCCAGGGCAGCCAGAGGAAAGCTCTGGATTCCCACAGAATTCCAGCACTGCCTCTTTCTCCTAGAACATTTCGTGCAGGACCGGCTGTTGGACGTTCTTAGTTTGGTGAGACTGAAAACGCCTGAAGGTTCTCGGAGCTGTGCAGGACAGAAAAGCGCTTGGGTTTATTCCTGGGCACTGTCAGAGCTCACCACAACAACCACACGATAGCGCTGCCGACTCGTGAAAGGAGGAAAGGCACCGAGAGCAGCTGGGAACCAGCCCGGGGACAGAGGTGGATGTGTCCCTGCTCTCAAATAACCTTTGTCAGGACAGCAAGTTTTCACTGACCTTCCCCTTCTAAATGCTCTTATTTACAACACACCCAAAGGGTGTGACACAGCATGGATTCCTTGGCTCCAAGAAGTCTTTTCACTCTCGCAGAGTCTGCCTACAAACTTGAAAACATTCAGCAAAAACAGAGCTCACAAAAGTGCTGCCTACAGCTTCAGCTGCACCCATCGAACCACCCTGGTGTGTTCACTTTCCTTCTCAGTGCTGTGTCCTGTCGTAATCCTTCAGTCTGACACAGTCAGGATCCAAAGAGAACAGCACCAGGCACTGCTCACACACTAAAGGGACCAGGACTAAAAGCTCAGCAGCCTGGAGTTTGCATTCCCACCATAACACTTCAACAGCTCGAGCCCATAGAGCTCCCTGCTAGGAAAAGCAATTAAATTCACCAAGGACCACCCAATGCGTGGAATCCAAACTGGTTTCTTTGCTGAAGAGAGGAACTGTAAGAAGAAATGGGATTCCCTCCTCCAAAATAGAAAACATCTGGGGATTGAGCCCATAAAAAGGTGGCAGAACGCTGTTGCTGGGCTTTAGCTGCCCTGGTAGGGAGGCAGGGACAGGGAGGGGAGGCAGGGAAGAAAGGGGCAGGGAAGTCGAGGCAGGGAACGGGTGCACAAGGGATGGGCAGGCAAGGCAAGGCAAGAACACAGAGGGCTCAGAAAGGCAAGGCAGAGAGGAAGAAGGCAAGGGAAGAAAGGAGCAGGCAGGTGAAGGCAGGGGATGTGTCTGAAAGGCAGCAGAAAGGAAGGGAATGGGTAGGCAGGGCAGGGAATTAAGAGGGGGCTTTACACGGCAAGGCCATGAGAGATGGGAAAGGAGAGAGAGGCAGGCAGAGCAGGGCAGGATGAGGGAGGAAAGGAGTGGGCAGGTAAAGGTGAGAGCACCCGTACAAAGCCAGATGTGTAGGCAAGGCAAGACAAAAAAAGAGGTGGAAAAGAATGGCAAGGAAAAGCAAGGTTTGGTAGGAATGGCAAGGCAAGGCAATAGATTGACAGGCAAGAGAAAGGCCAGAGGTTTTAGAAAAAGCAGGGCAGAGGAAGGCCAGCCCAGTGATGGATAGGCAAAGTAAATCAATGGCAGGGTAGTAAAAGCAAGGCAAGGACAGGGAAGAAAGAGGTAGGAAAGTCATGGTCTCTGAAAAATGAAATTTCTTTTCCACAAGAAAGAAATCCTGTAACCCTGGTGTGCAGATGGGAGTGGCCCAGGGGAGGTGACAGCCAGCCCGGCCTGTCTCTTCTAGATGCTTTTTCCGGGAGAAATCCTTGGATGTGCTGAGATTTGGAGGTGCAATGGAAATTTCGGCCATGGGCTTCTGGGTGAGAGGGACAAGAAGAAAAGCAGGAAGCCTCGATGTGCAGTGGGAAGAGGCCCACAAGAGGACAAGGCCAGCCAGACTCATCTGTCCCAGCAGTGAGCAATCCTGGCATGTACTGAATTTGGAGATGGAATCCCAACTTCAGCCAAGAGCTTCTGGATCAGAGTGGCAGTTCTCTGCCATGGGAGAGAAATCCCATGGCCCTGGTGTTCATTTGTAGATGAGAGACATCTCAGGGGAGGTCAAGGCCAGCGAAACCCATCTGTCCTGGCTGATTTTGTCTGGGAGCAGTCCTTGCAGGTACTGAATTTTGGAGGAGCAGTAAAAATTGTGGCCATGGGCTCCTGGATGAGAGTGAGAGTTGCTCTCCACAGGAAAAAAAGAACACAGCCCCAGGGTTTCACGTGCAGAAGAGAGGCAAGCCATGGGAGGTTAGGGTTAGGGGGTTAGGGTTACATTTGTGCAGGGATTAGGGCTATGGTTAGGGTTAAATGAGGGTTAGGATTAGGTTTATAGAAGGGTTAGGGTTTGGGATTGGGTTAGGGGTGGGTTTGGGTTTCAGATTGTTTATGTAGTGGTTTGGTTTAGGGTTGTTTAAGGATTATTTTTTAGGTTATGTAAGGCTTGGGGTTGGGGTTAGTGTTGGGATTAATGGTTTATTACATTCTGAGTTAAGGTTAGGGTTAATTTTAGGATTTGGGATTGGTTTAGGTCTGGGTTTAGTGTTAGGTTCTTGTAATGAATCAGGATAGGGTTACTGTTGGTGTTAGTTCAGGGTGATTTTTTGGTTATGGTTAGATTTACGTTTTTGCAAGGTTTAAGGTTTGGGTCTTTGTTTTTGTTTTGGGATATGGGTTATGGTTCATTTTAGGGTTATTGAAGGTTTTGGGCTAGGATTATGTTAGGTTTATGGGTGTGATTAGCTCTAGGGCAAGTTTAGGCTGAGGCCTCAGGTTACCATGAGTGTTGTTATTATGTTTAGAGTTAGATGAATATTTAGAGTAAAGTTTAGTGTCAGGTCTGGTGTTAGGCTTAGTTTTATGCTCTCAGTTCTGGAGAGTTGAGGCGTTATGTCTGGAAAACAAAAAGTAAACACAAAATTGTAAAAAATCACCTTGGGTGGGAAGAATAGGAAGAGCTGGGTAGGTGAGCCAGCTCAGTAATGAACTGGTTAATGAACTCATTAGCTTCAGGGGAGTCTGGGACTGCCATTTGCAGGAATAAAGGCTCATTTGGAACAAATGCCCGTGGCACACTGGTGGCTGGAGCCAGGCGTGTGCTGGTGGCACCCAGCAGCAGCTGCTGAGTGGGGTGTCAGCTGAAACCCGGGCAGGGGACACCCTTTGCAGGGCTGACATCCCACACAGGACCTCTCCGTGGCTTCCTACAGCCTCTTCCACCCTCGGGGGTAGCACTGGAATCGGAGCTCCCAAATTTGGATGAAAATATGGGGCAGACAAGCACTCATGCTGGCCAGGGCTTCTTCCTCACTGCAGGACTGATCTTCAGCCACCCTCTGCTGCTCCTTTGGGTTTTCTCCCATGGCTTAAAGCGTTTTTGGATAACGTGGGGCTGATGGAGCTCAGCATCTCATCAGCAAGTGCTGAATGGCTGCAGAACATCCTGGGGCAGGCAGGGAGTGAGGCTGCAGCGTGAAGAGCAGAAGCAGTGCAGCCTCTTGCCTTCCCCTCAGCAAATATTTATGCTTTAAGCTTTCTCACTTAAAGGCCTAATTGGAGTCTAGGTGAGCTGGCACACTAG